CAAGTTCAAGCCAACCGATGGACATACTGAGCTTTGTTGATAAGTCTGATACCCCCCGGGAACCAATACTTACTGAAAACTAGTAACTTGCTAATACCTGATCCTCTAACTCTGTGAGAGTCATCCCCCACGAGGCACTGTGCGGCCAGGCAGGGTCCCCGGCGGCAGCCCTCAGCCACGGTCCTGTCCCTCTCTGCCCTGCGGTGCGGCAGCACGCACCGCACCGTGGGCGCAGCTCGGGCACAGCTCCAGCTGCTGCTTCTCACAGGCTCTTTGGGCAAGGGGCTACAGCAGCACGTTCTCCGTGTCAGAATTTAGGGTCTGGCGGTAGTTGTATAAATAACCCAGGGCCCCTGCACAGTCTCTGGGTGTGCAGGGGGCAGTAAGGCAGCGCTACACTTGACAGGTAATTATTGCTTGTGGTGGTGAACGTGGAAATTGCCATCAGGGATTGAACACAACACCCACTCGTGGCCTGAGCTACACTGCGATGCGCACGTCTTCCAGCACCCACCACGTTCTGTGCACCTCCGCGTCTCACTCTCAGGGCTGGGCTGCAGCACCTGCCGGGAAACCAACCACAGGCCCAGGCAGCACATAAGCTGCTGCAGAGGCACCGCTGCCGGGACCATTGGGAGTCAGGCAGCATTCATTCCCTCCTCATCCTATTTGTACAGCAACGAAGTTGTCTAACGCAGGCGGAGAAGGACTGTGTGCAGGCTGTAGCTCAGCACCAGGAACATGTTTGAGAGTATTTAAAAAAAAATCAGCAAGTCTGTAAATAAATCCCTTGAGCATGGAAGGAAACAGCACAGGCTAGTGATTAAAAAGCCAAGTTTCTCACTGCAAAACATTTATGAAGAGGCAGCTTTGGTGGAGGTGACTGCAGCCACTTCGGGATGAGACCCTACCGCAATAGGGGCTCAGCGCTAAAAGTGAGAGGCTGCGTCCCCAAACCCAGCCTGCGTTCAAAAAGGGGACTGCAAGAAAGCAGCCTGTCCTCCTTGCTGTCGCCAGGGCACACAAAATTCCAGATGAAGCTCTCAGCAGTTCCTGGGCAGTTTAAAGATGAGAGAGGCTCTTCAGCAAAAAGCAAGGTACCACACCCCCAGGGTGCCAGACCTGCTAGCAGTTGTGTTTGCAGCACAAGTCTCTCCTGTGGGCAGCCATTGAGCTGCCTTAGTTTGCAGCGATCCCAGGGGCTCAGATGGGACCTCACCACTCTGAAAAGTCAGAAGTGAAGCTGCTCACTGCTGCCTTTTGAGGTGGAAGGAGCTGGGAGGCGAGCAGGACCTTCCTGCCTGCCTGCCTGCTGTGGTCCAAGCTGCCCAGGACTTCATAGCAGGGTAAGCGCCATCCTCATGTGCCAGCTGACTGTACCCAGGGTGACAGCAGCAATGATGAAGAACACAGCACCCAAGCCCCTGCCTTGGGCAGGCCACAGTGGTGGGAAGGTAGAGCAGAAGAGGATGCGTAGGGCACAAGAGGCAAGGGATGTGTGGGACATTGCCTAGAAATGTACAGGGCCAAAATCCACCTGATCCCCACTAAGCAGCTCCTCCTGCTTGCTTAAGAACTCACAGGTTTGGTAACATTGAGGCAGATTTTCAGTCTCATGACTGAGAGCCACAGGTACATGCACCACTTCAACCATGGCAGGTCTGCTTTAAGTCATTCCCCACCCCAGCCATTGTCAGCCTACACCATTTCCACAGGCTGGCACAATTAGTTGCTTGATTACTATCTAAATGAGGATGGTGTAATGACCTGGCTTTGAAAAGAAGAACACAGCTTCTTGTAGCAGATGAGGCCACACTTCACACTCTATCCTCCTGCCTGGACAAAGTGGAGAGAGGTTCCCTGCAGATTGCTGCAGAGAGGAGGAGACCGCTCAGGTGCAGCTCAGCAAAGGATTTTCCTTCAGCTCTGCAGCAGCATGAAAGGAGAAACTGGGCTGCGGCCACGCTTAATTCCACATTATCAGTGCTGTGAGCAATACTAACAGGGACTGTAACAAGCCCTTTACAGAGTCTTAAAAAGCTGGAAGGTGCTGTATGACTGCTGCCAGAGCCAAGAAAAGGGATTTCAAACTAAACCACCCATCCCCAATGAAACAGGAGCTGCTGTTTGGAACCACTGTAAAAATCCAAATGCTGTTGCTACCAAGACAACTCATCCTTTTGTTTTTTCCCCATCAGATCTCAGCTTAGACTGTTCCTAATGACTTGCTGCTACGCAGCTCCAGGCAGTCCTCAGACCAAAAGTACTATCCAAGTCCATTTCAATCCTTCTGATGCTGACCAAAAAATGGGCACAAATGAAAATGCTAAGAAATTCTGGTTAAACATTACAAAAAAGCCCCTTTTCACTGTAAGCGCAATCAAACACTAGCGCAGGTTGCCCAGGGATGTTGTGGAGCCTCCATCCTTGGTGATATTCAAAGCCCAACCAGCCCAAGCCTTGAGCAACCTGCTCCAAGCCAGGGCAGAACAGGCGAGCCCGAGGTCCCAAACCACCTCTGTGACCCCATGGAGCTGCCTGTCCTGTTGAATCCAGCTTCCAGAGGAAACACTGGCACTGACTGCATCACCACAGGGCAGGTCATCACACGCATTTCCCTTCCTCTGTCAATCAGACTGCTCTTTTCCAGAGCAGGAGGGGAAAAACTAAAACAAAGCGAGAAGAAAACAGCACCAGAGGTAAGTAACTGCTGTTAAGAACCAGGTGTAGCAATGGCTCCTAAACATGTCTGTCATCTCTACTGCCACACTGGCCCCAATTTAAGGTGCCCCCAAATCTTGGCAGACTCCAAAGAGCAACAAAAGCATCAGAGTTTTCCCAGGCTCAGATACAACTGCCACAGAGCTGTTTTCTTCAGGTGGAGCTCAGAAATCTCCTCTCCCTGGTGCACCCGACAGCTCCCTCCATCTCCTCTTCAAGTCAAGTCCTTCCC